CCGCCCCATCATACCCCATCCAGAGCTGGATCCAACTGGCTCCGCCCCATCATACCCCATCCAGAGCTGGACCCAACTGGCTCCGCCCCATCATATCTCAATCAACTTAGGACATTTTTAGCATCCTGATGGCCCAGTTGCCAGCTTGATTTGTCCCTGAGCACACTTCCTGGGTAGCCAGTAGTCTCTCCTTTTTTACCTGTTCTGGAAATCTTATGTAGATAATGTCATACATGTGTGGTCTCTTATGGCTGGCTTTGTTCACTTAACACAATGCTTACAAGATCCATTCATGTCGGAGCATAGACCACAACTTTAGTCCTTTTTTTTTTTTTTCTTTTCTTTTTTGAGACAGAGTCTCATGAAGCCCACACTGCCATCAAACTCACTATAAACCAAGGGTGATTCAACTCAGTTCCCCTGCTTCTACTTCCCAGGTGCTGGGAATACCGGTGTCCTCCACCATGCCTCGCCCTTTATTCCCCCTATGGCTATTATATTCCATATTCCATTGCATGGGTTACTACATTTTATTTATTCACAAGTTAACAGGCATTGGGTTATTTCTGATTAGGAATAATGCCACTCTGAAACATATCAGATTTTGTATGGATATCTTTTCCTTTCTCTTGGGTATGTACTTAACAGTGTTATTTTTTTTTCAGTTGTATGTGTATGTGTGTGTATGTGCTTGAAAAGCCAGGTGGATATAGGATCCCCTGGAGCTGGAATTATAGGTGTGGTTGTGAGCCCCCTAACATGGGTGCTAGGAATGGAACTCAGGTTCTCTAGAAGAGCAACATATGCTCTTAACCCTTTAGTTCCATGGAGCAGAATTCCTTAGGCAAATGCTAACTTCAGGTACTAGATTTTGTTTGTTTGGTTGATTGATTGGTTGGTTTTTGTTTTGTTTTGTTTTTGTTTTTTTTTAATGAACTCTTGTTCCCAAGATGTCTGTGCCATTCCGCATTCCTGCCTGCTGGGACAGAGAGCCCTGTCTGCCCCTGCCTTCCTTCCCCAGTTCCCAGTTCCCAGTACTTGTCTGTTTTTATAGCTGTCTCAGCACAAAATGGTTTTGGCTTTGGGTTTTAATTTTTGTTTCTGATGAAGATGTAACTTTTTTTTTTTTTAAAGAAAAGTCTATTAAACTCCTATGCCAGTTTTTAAATTTGGGTTTCTTGTTCTTTTACTGTTGAGTTGTAAGATAAAGATACTTATTACATGCTATTCTCTCTGTTTGGAGTGAGTGAGTGCATACACCCCACAGTGTACTTGTGGAGGTCAGGAAGGAGACTTGCAGGAGTCAGTTCTCTCCTGCCTGTGGGTTCTGGCAATGGAACGCAGGTCTTTAGCCTTGGTAGCAAGCGCCTTTACCTGCTGAGCCATCTCATTGGCCGGGATAAGTACTTTTTAACGTTCATTTTTGTTTGTATTGTCTTGGTTTTTTTTTTTTTTTTTTTTTTAGCTGAGGATCGAACCCAGGGCCTTGCACTACCACTGAGCTACATCCCCAAGCCTGTGTTTGTATTGTTGTCATCCAAACAGTGTGTTAGGAAGAACTGACCGACAAATCTCATTTTCTGCAGGGACTGAAGGTCTCTAAGAGCAAAAGCAGTGGTCAATGAGAGAGACCAAAGGACTGGGCCGCCGAAAAGCACTGCGCTTGCCCCACTGGCCACCATGCGGAAAGGAGTGCTGAGGGACCCAGAGATTGCCGATCTCTTCTACAAAGATGACCCCGAAGAGCTTTTTATCGATTTGCATGAGATCGGACATGGGAGCTTCGGAGCCGTGTACTTTGTAAGTAACGGGTCGACGGGGTAGAGTAGGTTCAGAAAGAGGGATCCCCGTGGTCTGCTGCAGAACACACTTGTGTTCCGGGTAGAGATGCGCGGTCATTGCTTGCTGAAGGCAGTTCCGGAGCACGAGGCTCTACTCCAGCGGCTGTAAGGCGAAGTGATAAGCGTGAAGTCGAGCCCCATGTGTTTCCTGGACATGCCAAGTTCCTTCAGCCTCTGTTCTCTGTCCCTTCACCCCAAAGCCTCTAAAGCCTGCACCCCAACCTCGGAGCCCTTGCTTGTCCAGCAGGATTCAGTAAACGTTACTTCCACAAGACGGTTTTTCCTATTCAGCCCTCCACCTCTTAACAGCCTGTTTATGTTTAGATACATGCTAGCAGAATGCCTAGTCATTTATGTCCCTCACCCTAAATTACGCACCATGACAACAGGGGTCTGTCTGTCCATCTCATTCATTACTGTGTTTCTAGGGACTAATATAATGTCTGCCAGTGGTAGGACTTAAGTAAATGTAGGGGAATGGATGGGTGGGGCTCACTGGCCGCCAGTCTAGCTCCAGGTCCAGTGAGTGACCCCATCTCAAGGGAATTAGGTGAAAAGTGACAGAGCTGGACACTCTTTCTTCCACTTGCCTCCACACGCGCATCTACACATACACATGTACGCACATACATGTCCAAAGCACCTTTGTGTGTCTACAAGAAAATCAACATGGAAATTGTTTCCAAATTCCCGGTCCCAGAGAAAGCGCGCACTGTGAGGTCTAATTAGGATGGCTCTGTAGATGGAGGAAAGCAACGGCAAACAGCGTTGACTCTACATTTCCTTAATGAGCGATTACTCAGTGGCACTGTCCAATTCCACCCAAGTCTCTTCTCCTCTCTCCTGCTCCCTGACCCCGGGGTGGTGGAACCCAGGCCTCACACGCTGGCCAAGTGCTCTCCCACCAAGCTAGACCTCTACCCTGTTTTCTCCTTATAAATGTGACAGGCATGTACTATGCATCATTGTTTGTTTGTTTGTTTGTTTGTGGTTCTGGGCTGGAACCCAGGGCCTCACTCATGCTAAGCAAGTACTCTACCAGAACAAGATTTTGTTTTCAGTGAAAGTCTATATATAGCTTCTAAATCAATAATTACCTTATATGTGCCTTTCTGAAGCCCTTCAGAATTGGAAACAATTAACTAGTAGATGCCTTTTATAACAAATCCTGTCACCTTAGTGAGTCTATAAATTTTTTTTAATGTGTATTCATTTTCCCTACACTTCAGCATCAGGTACCTGGGGTTAAAGAGCCTATGTCTTGGCTAGCTACTGAATAGTAGAGCAAGAAACATGGGTGTGTGTGCATTTGTCTGTGGATTGCCTGGTTCTTTTCCTAAGATTTATTTATTTATTTTATTTTGTATGTGTGAGTATGTCCGGTGTATGCAATACCCACAGAGGCCAGAAGAGGGTGCCAGATCCCCGGGAACTGGAGTTAGGATGCTTTGAACCTCCCTGTGGGTGCTGGGAACCGACCCCAGGTCTCTGAGAGCACCAGAGCTTTTACCTGCCGAGCCCTCTCTCCAGCATGATTAGTTATTTCACTTCATGGCTGGTCTCTCAGCTGGTTCTCCATTCATTGTCCAGCATCTAAGATGGTGAATCCCAACGTTTATAAATTTGCTTTTCTTCCGTTTGACCATGTGTTTTCTTCAAGTCCTGTTACAACTCTCACACGTCATACACATGTTATTACAGCAAGGAATTCGAGCAGCCGTTCCCATGAAGTCAGGGTGGAGGGGCGCTCTAGCCCGTCACAGGGAATGTCTTTAAGAACGACTTTGCAGAGATGTGAGGACAAATGCTGCAAGCTCCAGTCCAGTGCTTGAGTTAAGGTGACTGGACATCGTAACTCTTTCTTTTTCTTCCCCTCTCTTATCACAGGCAACAAATGCTCACACCAACGAGGTGGTTGCAGTTAAGAAAATGTCCTACAGTGGGAAGCAGACCCATGAGGTAAGACAGCCCCATGCCTCCACAGATGTGTCAAGTTAGGATGAGGTTAGCCAAGTCCTGAACTCTGGCATCCCACACAGAGGAGGGCAGCTAGTCCCCAGGGCCACCATGTGTATTTCAAACCTCACTGGAAGGGATGGTCCTCTGTTCTCATCACAAGGATATGGTTAGTGTCTGAGATGATGAACGTGCTAGACACCATCTCAGGGTAAATGCAGTACAGAGCTGTAGAGAGTACCCATCAGCCCATATGATTAGTATGTGTTCAATAAACATAAAACAAAGCTTTCGAAAGATGTAATCCATAGAAGTTACCTAAGTATTTATCACAATGCTGTTCTTTGTGGGGGTTTCCCCCCCCCCCCCTTTTAAGCTCACGGACAATTTTTTTAAAAGATTTATTTATTTTATGTATATGAGCGCTCTATCTGCATGTCTGCCTTATGCCAGAAGAGGGCACCAGATCTCACCACAAATGGCTGTGAGCCACCATGTGGTTGCTGGGAATTGAACTCAGGACCTCTAGGAGAATATCCAGTGCTCTTAACCATTGAACCAATCCTCTATCCCCAAAAATTAACTTATTTTTATGTTCTTTAAAAGATTTATTGTTCATTTATTTATTCTGTATGCAATGTTCTGTCTGCATAAATCCCTGCAGGCCAGAAGAGAGCATCAGATCCCATTATAGATGGTTGTGAGCCACCATGTGGTTGCTGGGAATTGAACTCAGCCCTTGCTCAAGGATAATTTTATAAGAGTTTTAAAGAGAACCGGAGAGATGGCTCAGGAGTTAAGAGCTGCTCTTCCAGAGGACCTGGGTTCAATTCCCAGCACTCACATGGCAGCTCACCACTGTCTGTAACTCCAGTTCCAGGGTATCCAACACCCTCACACAGAGTATATACAGACAAAACACCAGTGCACATAAAATAAATAAATAGATAGATCTTTAGGGGTTGGGGATTTAGCTCAGTGGTAGAGTGCTTGCCTAGCAAATACAAGGCCCTGGGTTCGGTCCTCAACTCCAGGAAAAACAAACAAACAAACAAACAAACTGCCAAGGAAGACAAACTGTAAACCTCAGTAGCTGCCCATAAGAGAGAGAGCATGGAGACAAGAAAAAAACAAAACAAAACAAAAAAAAAGCTACCATTTGAGCTGGCATAGA